CTGAAACTACTCTTAGCTTGATGGGATTGGGGAGGAGGAGAGGGAACTCCCTGGAGAACCAAGGGCAGATCATTATAAGAGCTTCCTTAAAAAAGCTGACCCAGGCTCAGCGCCTATAGCTCAACCGGCTAAGGCGCCAGCCACATACACCTAAGGTGGCGGGTTCGAATCCCCAGCCCAGACCCGCCAAACAACAATGACGGCTGCAACCAAAAAATAGCCGGGCATTGTGGCGGGCGCCTGTGGTCCCAGCTACTTGGGAGGCGGAGGCAGGAGACTCGCTTGAGCCCAGGAGTTGGAGGTTGCTGTGAGCTGTAATGCCACAGCACCCTACCCAGGGGGACAGCTTGAGGCTCTGTCTCAAAAAAAAAAGAAAAAAAAAGCTGACCCACTGGGTTTCTTCATTCATGTTCTATCTACACACTCTTTTCTTCCTCTCTTTCAAATCAAGGTCCAGTAAAGCAACCATCACTTCTGCTTCAGGGTGATGAAGGCTCAAAGCCAGATCCCTGGGAGCCAGAATAAGTGTTAGGGAGCGCTCTGCCCCTTGGTCCCTCACCACTGCCCCAGGCAGTCCTGCAGTGCAGTTGACCCCTGGGCCTTTGGGGCAGGAGGCTAGGACAGACACATTCCAAGGTCCTGCCTCACCAGGCCCTGTGCCTCTTGGCTGCTTCTTGTGATTCTAGCAGAGGAGCCAAGGACTTTCGCTACTAAATAAACCCAGGGGCTGGTCCCCAATGGCATGTGTTTATAGTACAGGTACAAACCGTTTCCATAGGACCAACATCTCCCTCCATTCCCTGTGGAGGGCTATGTCAGAGAGTATGGGGGAGAATGCTTTTCCTTCCTTCCCTTTCCTCTTCCCACCCCTCAACTGGGTACCAGCAAAAGACAGAAAACCCTTCCAGTATTCAGACCATAGTTTTCTTCCTGAAAAACCTTTAGAGAAGGACATCACAGCATCCCTTCTTTTTTTTTTTTTTTTTTCACAGCATCCCTGTGAGTCCCAATTGTTCTGGGGTCTCCATCACCACTGGACAGTTAAATCTAATCTCAGGCAATCTTGCTGCTTCCTCTGCTTCTCTGTGGGGATGAGAAGGGCTAAACCTTGATATAGCTTCATGGAGGAAGAAACAGGGCTCCGTGGACCTCCACACAGTGGATTTGTATAAAACTCACGCCCCAGGTTAGGCGCAGTGGCTCACACCTATAAACCTAGCATTCTGGGAGGTCAAGGCAGGTAGATTGCTTGAGCTCAGGAGTTTAAGACCAGCCTAAGCAAGAGCAAGACCCCATTTCTTGGCTCAGTGCCTATAGCTCAAGCAGCTAAGGTGCCAGCCACATACACCAGAGCTGGTGGGTTTGAATACAACCCAGGGCCTGCCAAACAACAATGACAACTACAACCAGAAAATAGCTGGGCGTTGTGGTGGGTGCCTGTAG